CGCCGCCGCCGCCGCGCGCCTCGCGCCACGCGACACCCGCGCGCCCCCGCGCGGCACGCCGTCGAACATGCGCATGAACGCATCCGCGTCCGCATCCACGTCCGTGTCCGCCGATGAGCCCGACGACGACGACGCGCCGCCCTCGTCGTCCGCCTCCGCGCCGCCGACGCGGCACGCGCGCGCGAGCTGCAGCGCGAGCAGCACCGCCGAGCCCGGCGCGGGGATGCGGATCTTCAGGCCCGTCTTGCTGCGCGGCGTCGGCGCGGGCGTCGGCGGGACGGAGAAGGCCGCGGGGGAGGTGGTGGTGGAGGTGGTGGAAGAGGACAGGTTGCACGCGCGCTCAAAGGACAGCGCGAAGAACGCGTCGGACTTGCCGCCCGGGACCGTGATCGTCAGGCGCTGCGGCGCCGGCGCGTGCAGCACGTGACCGCCATCCGATGCGGATCCGGCGCTGTCGTCCTCCATGTCAAGTTCGTCCGACGAGCCGCGCGACGAGTCGTCCTCGTCGGAAGTCGTGGTGGTCGCAGGGATCGGCGTCGGCGCGCGCCTCGGGCGGCGCGGCGCGGGGGCGGCGAGGCCGTCCCACAGCGCGTCCGCGGCCGCAGAGGACGACGCGGCGCCGTCGTCGTCTGCGAACGCCACGCGGCGCGCGGCCGCGGCGTGTTTGTGGCTCGCGCGCTCGTCGCGCGTCATCCTGAAGAAGGCGTCCGGTGCACGGCGCGCGGCGGGCCGGGCGCGCTGGTGCCGCTCGGCGCCGCTCGCGCGCGGCGCGGCGGGGGTGCAGTGCCAGGGCAGTTGTGCGTAGGTCAGGTTGGTGGGAGGCGGCAGGGGCGTGGCGACGTAGTGGGGCTCCGACGCGAGCGCGTCGCGCTCTGTGTGCGCGGTAGTGTACATGTGCTGCGCGTCGCGGTGGAAGATGGAGTCCATGTTGCCGGACACTCCGTGGAAGGTCGTTTGGAGGTCGTCGAGGAGGAGGTTGAGGTCAAAAGCCATTGGGAGTAACAAGCGGGGGCTGTGGACAGACGAAATGAAAGTAAGGGGACTGTTCGGGTCGCGTAGCGCGACGCGTACTCACGAATGGAATGTCTGGATCTGCGAATACGCCAGGTATGTATCAGATGGTGGGAGGGAGGAGAGTTCTAGGGTAAAGCGCTAGAGAGAGGCTCGGATGCACAGCTGAGCTGTGAGGATGGTGGTGGAGAGTCAAAGGAGCTGTGCCAGACGTCGGGGACAAGGGGCCCTGGCACTTTATTGTCGGCAGGGCACGCGGAGAGATAAACAGACACAGAGGCCTGGCCAAGCGTGATCGGTTGTGGCGACGACACGACTCCAACAATGGGCCTCCAGTGTCTGCAGCTACTTATAAGGATATCGATGGCGACGGGCTGAAACCGCAACAGCGGCGCGACGCAATCCACATTTCCCAGAGAATGTTACGCAGGGCCGATCGTGTCGTGGTTTGGCGTAGCCAGGCCGAGGCTCTCGCGCCCCGAGTCTAATCGGGTGGACAATTGGAGAGATCCTACCGCCGATGTCGGGATGGCGGAACAATGGACAAGGGCGGGTGCGGTGTAAGGTACAGCTGTGCGATCCATGTCACATCCGATACGCGCGTTAGATGTAGGTTTCGTCTGCCCTGAGCTTAGTGACGCGCGCAAGGCAGGACAGCAGTACGTGCTGCTACCTGCACTGTGATCCCAACCCGGCTCGCCGTTGTCGCACTTGGGTGGGCGGGTCGATGAGAGGTTCCCTCGGAGGCAGATTTGCGAGTCTCCAGAATTCGATCGGAACAACAGTCTGGCTTCCTTATCTGGCAGGTGCGGAAGCTGATCTGTATCTGAGAGGATCTGTCATCTCGACATCTCGTGCCCTTTGCCACGCTCCTCGTTTCAGCCCCGCACTACCCAGCCCTGGACGCGACTGAACCGGCCCTTGGCTTGACAACATTGGCTACAGCTTACAACTCTCCATCGTCTCGAGGCTTATCGCCACTTTTTGGTGAACCGGCGGAGAAACTCGAAGGCAGGCACGGCGTACGAATGACCTCATACACAACTCTCGCGCAACGTAACCCCGTTTTGATTGGTTGCCACGCCGCGTGGCGACAGGCTGTCGCTAAGAACACAGCAGGATCCGCCGCCGCCAAGCAAACCCCGCAACAGCTGCGCCAGAACCGGCGAGGCGATCCCGGACACGCACGCTTAATGCAATTCTTCAGGCACGTCCAAGCATTAGCGCGACCGTGGCGTCGTTGGATCGCCTCTGGAACGCCAGTAGGGCCCCGTATCGAGTGACTCTTCCTCACACCAGTTTCAAAGCGACGTAAGGGGCACAAACGCGCCCAAGTCTATAAGCAGGTCGAGATCGCGTCGGAGAGGAACATCTAGGGGAACGAATGCATAATTTATGTGTCGGTGTCCGTTCGAGATTCTATAACAGCAGAAGGCGCGGAGTGTATCAAGACGTCGTGAGCTGTCGCTTGGCGTCGCGTTCTTCCTTCAAAGTCGCTATCTCAGCGAGGTCGATGGCCTTGAACGGCCAGGTAAGCCAATTCCCGCCACTGCGCCCACTGCGGAGCCCCATATCCTGGAGGAGGTCATCGGTGAACTGCGGCCATCTGGGGCAAGTCAAGGGCGGTTAGCTGCGCAGAATCCGAGATGGAATGCTACGCACGAGAAGTACGCGATATAGGTTGTGTTGCTTTCATTCCACCACTGGAACGCGTACGGGTAACGCTGTCGCACCCAGGCCGCGTGTCGCTCCGCCATTTCGCGAGCGTCCTCCTCGCTCCGAGGGAGACGCAGCTCGTCGTGCCGGAAGTACGCAGAAATCCAGTGCGCAGATACCTCGGATACATAGGTATGGTGAGGCGAAAGCTACACGGACGATTATGTGAGTAACATTGCACTGTCAGGCCAACTGAGCACCGTACCACTGCTCCATTGAGGGCAAAATCTCGATTGAAGAGGCTCTTCGTTGGGACTAGACCGCGGTGGACAGACGAGGCCCATGAGTCCTTCGGCGATGCCGCAGGCGGGTTCGCGAGGCTGGTGTAGTCCCAATGATACGCGTTCTTCGAATCCGGAGGGTGCCGCCCCAGCCCGAGATCCGCCATCGTCTCGTCTTTTGCAACATGGTCAGTACATCTGTGCTGTCAGTCACAGCAGACGCTTACCGTCGAAGATGGGTTTCCAGGTGGATTGGTATCCTGTGCCAAGGACGACCGCGGCAGCAGGCAGCACGCGCCCATCTCCAAGCACGACGGAACGTCCGTCCTCCCCAAACCGCACCGCGCGCGCAGGAGCGACCAGTTTTATCTTGCCCTCGTTAACAAGCGCATGGAAATACCCCGCGCGAGGAATTCCCTCATCGCTTGCTCGCGTGTCCCAGAATATAGAATGGCAACGGCGGAGTGGCGAGTCTTTCGGGATGCTCAATGCATCTAGCTGCGAGGCCCAGTGAACGGTAGGTGCGAGGGAGGTCACGATGGAAACTCACTGCAAACTGCTGACTCGACTTCCAAAACCAGCGAACGAAGGCGCCACCAAGCCAAGTGGTGTGCATGAACCGCCTGTACATTGTCAGTAGGTGCGGGACCTGCGCAAGAGCGTACACACTCTAGTCGCGTGCGCAATTCCATATGTGCACCCATGACGGACATGAGCCTAGGTAGGCCCTTCAACCACAAGGATCGCCGGGGGCGCGGGTGGCGTACCTGCTCTTCCTGATGAATGCTGGCACAAGGAATTTGCTAGCCACGACTGCCCCGGCGGTTTCGAAAACAAGCGTGACGGGGCGGCCTTCGTTAGCAAAATAGGTGGCGGCGCTGGAGGCATGCGTCAGACGGCATGTGGATACACATTGCACACAACGCACTCCTGTGCGGATTTCCCACCCCCGACGACGATGATTGGTGCATCTGCATCTCCGTCAGAGTCCATGGGCTTGACCGCCTCGAGCAGCCCATCGATCTGTGAGCTGAAATGCATCGTATGCAGGACCGGACCAGAGAACCCCGCAGCTTGAGCATCAGCCAGGGATAAGAACTTCGGATAGCGCGGATTGCTGGACCCCTGGAAGCACAAGTCAGGCCCCGTGGCGTGCAATTGCGTAGATGGACCCACCCCCGTGCACAGGACGATGCGAGCGTAGTGGAGCGTCCGCTCGGCGCCAACTTCTGCGTCCCATACCAGGACATCCCAGCCCTGTCGTTGGTCGCCCCGGCGGATTTTCAGGATCTCAGTCCCGAAACGAATTTTGCCCTTCAAGAACTTCTGGGCGAACTCGTCCAAATAGTCGTGCACGTCGGTACCCATTAGTCGGCCGCCGGTCTTAGCGGCGCCCTTGGGCTCGCGCATCGGCATGGTCGAGAAGCGGAACTCGCCATGCACGCTGGACCATCATGTCAACATCAGCGCAGGTACCGGATGATGGGAAGAATGCGGCACCTGTTAGTTTGCATACTTGAATATACGCGCTCCTGCGACCAAACGCCGCCGACAGACTTGTCGCGTGTCAATACTTCGACGCTCGTGAAGCCGTCTTGGAGGAGCGTGTGCGCAGTGATGAGCCCGGCGGCGCCGGACCCAATCACGCCCACAGACTCGAGGAGTGGGTTCGATTGGTGTTCGACCGACGGTGCCATACTGTCCGCGTTGTAGGGGAAGAACCGAGGGCCGTTTCAGGGCCATGCTGGCTTTTATAGTGATCGGGTGTGATGCTGGTATTGATGTGTTGCATAGACGTGCACGCAGCACGCTCATACAACCCCATCTGGCATTTCCGGTGACCGTTCGCCCGGGTAAATCGTGTGGAATTCGGAGGGGACGAAACGGAATATCTGTAATCAAAGGGCAGATACAGAATTGCGCGGACAAGGGAGCAGGGGATGGGCGGGAGCGCAGCGGACAAGACAAACTTGCGCGGTCGAAGGTGGAGCAACGAAGGCGAGTCGGCGTCTGATATCAGAATATCGCAGAGTGACGGAAAGCAAAAGTGAAGGGCCTGGCCGGGAATTGAACCCGGGACCTCCTCCAGACGCCAGAGAAGGAACCAACTGCCAGACCACCAGGCCGGTATTACGCGATACCCTTTGCTCCCGCTCCCCCGTGACACACCTTGCATGGTGTCCGCTCCGACGTCTTGCTCGACAATGTTGTGTTGGTACGCCCATAAAGTCTATGACCCCATGGCCTCATCAGTACTACCGCCCTGCGCCTCCGATAGGCCCTCTTGTCGGTACTGCGTCCACTGCGCAACCCTGACCATGGGCTACTCTCCGACGCGTGAACGTTGGGGCGGTCGCGTCGAGACCAAGAGCGGTTCTCAAGCGGACGGCTCCTCGGCTTCTGCTGAGGTCATTCAGGACCTGCGAACGTCGCGCAGCACAACGATGAGATCAAGCCACTCCCAGATAACACCGTTCTCTCCGATATCCGCCAAGTCAGAGGAGAAGAGGGCCTATATCCAGATGCAACGACGATTCACGATACAAGGCGTTCAGCTTATACGAGCCAAGTCCATGAGCGTACAGTAATCGGTCAGGTCTATGCACAAGAGCACCGTTCCAAGCCGCCCGTCATCCACATGAAGTCGAACTATGGATTGGCGTGGTCAGTGAGGAGTAGATCGTGATGTGATGGGGGGTACTTATCTTGATCAGCCACGTCCCCCCCTCGGCCGAGTGCAAGTACGGCCAGTCAGCTATCCCACTCGGCGACGTGAGAAGGAGAAAGACTCACCGGGCGATTCCCGCCCCGAATATAACGTTCCGCTTTCTTCACCCACCCGCCCACATACCAGCGGAGCCCTTGGTGTCGATCTTGGCCCTTGCAGTCGCCGTCGGTCTAAGCCCGCCCAATCAGTCAAGCCACCCGGATGCCGAAGGGAGTAGGACTCACCGGTCGGTCGCACACCAAAGGCCACGCCCCGCTGTCTTCACCCACCCACCCACGTACCAGCGGAGCGCTCAGATTCGATTTTGCTCTGACTCTTGTGGACTTCGCGGCGCTACCCTTTGGTGTTGATCGCAGTCTTGCCCCACTCGCTCGTGTCGGCGTGTGTTCTTGAGGCCCTTTGCGTCTTGGGGTCTTGATCTTGGTCACACGTCTTGGGGTCTTGGTCTCGTCCGCGTCTTGTGCTTGCCATGCTCGGGTTGGTCTTAGTCACACGTCCTGCTCTCAGTCGCGGTCACACCCTTGCGTCCTGGTCTTGTCACACATCTTGTGCTTGCTGTTGCTCACGCGTCTTGTGGCCTTGATCTTGTTCACACATCTTGCAGTCTTGGTCTTGTCACACGCCGTGCACTTCCTGTTACTGTCGTCTTGGGGTCTTGGTCTTGCTCGTGCACCTTGCACTTGCGTCGTTTGTGTCTTGAGGTCTTCGGCTTGATCACACATCTTGTCGTCTTGGTCTTGGTCACACGTCTGGCGGTCTTGATCTTCTCACGCCTCTTGAGTTTGAGCTTGAGGCCCCGATGCTGCCTTGAGGGTGGTCTTGAGGTCACGCGCAAGTCACATGGTAGCTCCGACTCGTCCGCTAAGCACTATGTAGTACGCTACTCCCTCCAATCATTTTCCTTCCGTCTGGCTTCCTCTACGTGTCTTCTCTCTGCTTGTCCGGGATCTTCAGCACCTAGCGTAGCCAAGTGCCCTGTCTGTCTCAAGTGGACCCCGTGCTCGTGCTCCGGGTTCCTATGCCCCTGGGTACATCTATGATCTTGTATTCATAGCTATCAATCGCGTCAGCCACCCACAACACAACCAAGCCAATAACTCACCACTTATACTGGCGACTTCCTCCGAGACGGTCTTAAGGTACGTTTAATTCCTACGCCGGGTAGTTTTACCATCTCATGGCGGCGGTTGTAGACACGACGGGCTACGGGATCCCCCATAGCAGACGGCGCTTGAGCCCAGGCCTCAGCCCATCGCTGGAGAGAGGAGTGGAAGCGGACTGACGAAACTTGAGGCTAAGGTGCGCCTGTATTCATACATTTGGAGGCTGGCAATCCCGTGAGGATCAACAGAGTGGTGCGGGGGGATTCAACGACACTTGGTATGCATTCAAGCGCGACGCGTTTGTGCACGTATACGCGCTCAGGCCCCGCGTGCGGCGAAAGAGATTGCTCCAGGAAATCAAGGAAAAATCGTGTCGGAATTTCGTTAAGGCAAGTAGAAGTCCAGCCACTGGAGAAGCTACTTCGAACTGATATAGGTGCTTCCGTGCTCTGTGTCAGCGGGCGTGCACGAAACAGCATCGACGCTGCGAACTGGTCAGCCATTTGGCTGCCAGACCTCCGCATTCCCAGATCGTGTCTCAGATGTCGATGAAAGTTGGCACCCGTACCGAGAGTCTGTCTCCTCACGATCGACTCGGGGCTTCTTTTCTCCATCATCAACTTCTCCCGACGGCAGATGCCATGCAGAAGTTCTAGCCCAGGCGGTCAGCCGAGCATTCCACCGTCGAGAAGGCGTCCTGATCCACTTTAGGCTTCTGTGGACCTGGAATGTTTGGGCAGTGCAGTGGACCGGTTGTGTTGATTGGCCCCAAGTCGGTTGAACTTGGCTACGAGGCAATCTCCACGTCCGTGCGCTCGCACGAGATGGCGGACTCCGGGGTCCTTGAGAGCGCTTAGCCACGGTGTTACGTCGTAAACGTTCTCGTTTTCATCAGCATTACTTAGTATCTTTGGCAATATCAACGGGTCCTCGGAATCCAGATCCTGCCGCAGCACTGCATTGACGCAGGAAGGCTGCACGTAAGTGACGTGCTGACAGAGTTCAAGGTGATCCTTGAGCTGTTCGTGGACCTTCAGATGGAAACACACAGCGGCCGTTTTTCCTTCCCCGCATCCAGCGACAATCAAATGACCTCCTTTTCTGAGGGCGTTGGCCGTGGCTTCGACCTGCCAGTCGCGCGGTCCATCCGGCCATTGAAGGGTAGCTACAGCGAGAATTAACTTGATGTGTATGAGTCCTTCGGGTGTCTTGAGAGATAGCATAGCACGGAAGACAATCTAAATAGACCATAATATAAACAAGGGAGGTTCGTGCGCTCTCGCGCGTATCCGGGCCAGACACGATATTGCGGAGCTCGAGCGCCGCGAGCGCGTCCTATCATGTGATAATATTATCTTTACGCGAAAGCAATTACAAGACAGACTTCGCATCAGAAACAGAGAGGCCGCCAGGCGGTGTAAGCGCACAAACAATTCGCCTCGTTCCCCTACCAATCTTGCCTTGTACCATCCGTGATTCTTAACCAAGCCAATTGGGAAACTTCCATATCAAAATTCATACTGCATTATTGGCACACTCGTGGGGCGACTTTAGATGTGTCCAATGCGAATTTCGTGCCAGTTGCGGTCCAATATTGCCCAGTTACCACCCGAAACAACGCGCAGGGTTCGCCCGAATCTATTCCATAGTGATGTAGGATCTATAAATCACATAGCCACAACTCACGACCACGAGGATTCCAGAGTCCAGCGGGGCCACCTACTGGTCACCTTGACCAGCAGTCCGACGCGTCACACGTGGCGCTCTAGATCTCACCGATCGGAGTTTTGGTGCGCTGCTACCGCCGATTGACCGCAGGTTGATCAAGGTGATCCAGTTGGTAATCCCGCTGAACGCGCGTCTTGCAGTCAAGCGCCACTCCACGCACTACGCCACTTCAGCCCAAAGTTACATTCCCACACCATACATCGGGGCGAGACGAGTCCTCCGCGACGCCAGCGGATGGGCACAACAGTGCTTCTACAAGCCAATATCTTCATCGACGCGAGGACGAATCAAATCGAAGAGCGTCCCCCCGGCCGATGGCAAACCCGCCTATCCGACACCGCGCCTGCCTGCCTGCAATCCTCTGACCTCATCACTGTCTCCGGGCTCCCGCAAGCCTAGATCCACACCCTCAAGGCGCGGAGCTGCGGATCTGGTTGCGGATCCAGTACCTGTCTTCGATCCCCACGCGGCACCAAGATAGTCTTCGTGAATCCTGGCGTGCATCTGCAGTCTCCTGTTCTTCCAGCTGAACGAAGGCTTGTCGGGCAGGACCACTACCGCGGGTTGGCGAATAGGTGTATGCTCTGGGATACCCGCTGGTTGACCAGAGTGCCGGGCAGTGTCACAAGCGTTTACTGCGTGCCCGTCAGATCAGATACCATAGCTTCCTGGTGACCTCTCGTGAATGGGCTCATATCCTAGGAAAGGCCGCGCTCATTGGCACAAGTGGCCAAGATGCCGGGAATGATGTTCATATATCATACACCTCTAATGAACAACGAACCAGTCCTCATCGCTGTGAACGGAAGGCAGTGGTACCGCCTTTTCCCCAGCCAACCTGAATGAGGATCTGGCCTTTTCTCAACCGCTAGGACAACGCTAGGATCGGCTTCTTTCTCAACTGCCGTGGGCGAGATGGACCACACGGAATCCTCTGAATGATCAGGCATCTTTCTCCAATGACCCGAGATTCTGGCTAGGACCCTTTGCTTCTGTCTTGAAGGAAGTGACGCTGCTTGGATGTTATAAAAGACTGACCTCAACTCACCGGGGTTGGTCAGTACACACTCCTTACTGCCGCATCTTCCCTCTCGAGATGGCCCAAGAACACCGTAGTCCTGGTACCAACGCGAGGGCTTTCCGCAGCCCTTTGCTGGACCCGACACTACCCGATGGCCATTTTGGGGCTGCCGTCCCACAGGCTGATGGTTTGAATGTTGCTCACCAGGCGCACACTGTGAGTGCACTACATCACACCTTCCATCGCGCTTTGTCGTTTGTGTCTGCGTTAGACTCACCATCTCACCATCTCCTATGCCGGCTCCCAGTTTCCACACAGCCAGGTCTCCAGCATGGCCCCACCGTGGAGGGAGATGTCGCCCACTATATCTCACAGCACCCATGGGTGGCCGCAGCATATAATACCAGATCCCAGTGGTCAGCACACTATTCCGTATGATTTATGCAATCAATGCTATCCGGCTATGCCCTCGGTGAGTCTACACGACCTTTGGAAGGATATTACGCCAACCTTGACGTGGAATCTAGGCTACGAATGCATCCACAG